TAGGGGTCCTTCACCCGATCGTTGCCGAAACAGCATTCTGTCCATTCGGTACACGAATGAAAAACTCAAATTTATCCGCCTCTCCCCACCCTTTCCCAGATCCCTTCGAAAACTTTTGGTCCATGGCAACCCCACCCTGGAAGACAGGGAGTTTGTCTGCCTTCTGCTGGAGGACTACTTGCCCAAGGTTTACATTGAGGGTGTCGACTATCTGGGCCAGTTGCCGGAAGAGCAACGCCAGCGTGTCTTGTCCCTCTCTGCGCCCAGCCCCGTTCCTCTGTTGCCGCGACACGAGGAGGCGTCAGATTCTGACTCGGTAGCAGCGACCTCCCCTGAACCCTCTACGTCCGCAGCGCCTGCAGCGAGGCCGGACCCACTTGCGCAGCATGCTGCTTAACTCTGGTCCGCAGCCACTGTATTCTTTCTTATCTTCTTGGACTTGTGCAAATTGTAGATTTCTGTTTTATTATCCTTATATGTATCGGTTTTTAGGATTGTCTTCTGAAGTTCAAAATACATTATTGCTCATTGCATGAATTCCACCTCTCTGTCCTGATTTTGCGGGAATTTGATTCGTAGGCGTTAGGAATTATGGTTTTACCAACAAAGACAAGGGAGACTGGGCAACGGGCTCGTGGCCCAGTGGTTAGAGGCGTGGACTTCTAAGTAACAGGTCACGAGTTCGAGCCTCGAGTGTTCAACACTTCGGGGTTGGGTATGACTGGCTCCAGTCTCCCTCGTCCCTGTGTCGGTAATGCCATTCTGTCTATATCATGCGCCGCTGTGTGGCTGCTGGTTGGGCTCAAGAGAGAGCCCGTAAGGCACAACTGGACGAGTGAGTTCCGTAGGAAGGATCGGTGAGCGCCCCCTATCGATGTTAGGAATGTCCGCATTCCCATAAAGCAAAGTCGATCTTGCTGGAATGCGTGTGCGGGCGGTCCGTCTGCGTGCTGCCTGCAGACGGACGGCGTTTCGCAATTGTCTGCGGCCACAGTACTTCCCTAGAACCCTAGTGGATCACGTCTGTGAGGAAGTGATTAGCTACTTTCTTTCTAGAGCGATTGGATAAAATTCTAGCGAACCTGAACGGGGTACTATAAATGCACACAGTTTCAGTGAGGATGGCTTGGGAGTAGCAGCACATTTTGTCGTGACCGATGGTGTCTTGCTTGTCTGCCTACTGGTGGTTTGGGACAACAATCGAACACGTATTGGGTTCGTGTTATTACTGGATACCAGGGACGGGTCATAATAGTGGACTACCGTCAATCCTAGCGTTCGAATCTAGCCCCTGTCCGTCTAAATAAAATGTAGCTCCTGACTGTAAAAACCGCTGGACTTCTGGGTAATGGTGCCGCCCGACTGAACCGCCTTGACAAATTCGCACCAAAAATTTAATGCTATGATGATGCTACTACCAATATTTACGTAGCATTTGTGTATGCAATTAGTTAAGTCTTAACCACGCCGCACTGCTCGCATTCACCAAGATGTCTGCAGACGACAAGTATTCTTTTTCCTGTAGCTTAGGTGTGCTTCAAATTTCTTCTGTATTACTCACCGAACTGAGTCCATATGCTCATAAATACTGTTAACGTATGTAATACTGTGTTCATCTGTAAAGCTTTTTATATTCATGCTACGCCCTTTCCACATCCTCTCCGTGTAACGAATAGGGATTTCAAAGGTGCATACCTACTTTTCCCCAAATAAACAGAACTGGGTGATTTAAGATCCCTGCAGTGTTATTCAGAGAGGGCATAAGCTTGGATTTGAAGACGATCCGAGCACCTTCTGTCCGCAGACTGACCTGCATGCCCTAATAGATAGATAGATAATTTTTATTAAAGACCCGTTGGGGTCCCATCAAAGCAAGTTAAAATAAATTTACATGCGAGTTTTAGACGAGGTAGGCCGAATCTTTACAAAATGCAATTCCTAGTTTCTGAATTAGAAGTTCATTGAGAAACATGATGATTGGGGGGTGAAAAAAAAACTTACAAAAAGTTAAAAATGATTGGATTAATTTTACAGGAGAAAAAAAATCCTCAATAAAAATAATAACAGAAAAAATCAAGAAGCACTGGCCTGTAGGTGGCGGTATATAACGGAATGTTGTCGGTCATCGTCAGGGTAGCAATAAATGTCAGCCTTGATGGGTACGAATGTGGGTCAGACAGGACTGGCTTGCAAATGGCATTGTATACGGGATTCACAATTGAGATCGTCTGGGCCGGATTGGTACGCTGCTTCAAAGAGGCCAGACGAGAGGAACCGAGATGCAATCGGCCACAGCACGCTTCGAGCTCAGCCGAGCAGTGGGGAAGGGAGGTACGACCAAACTACTAGTAGACAGTGAATACTGAGGGTTCCGCCGTGAGTGTCGAAAGACCGCATGAGGTCGGAATTCGGGAGATAACATCAAAAACCGCGAAAATTTTCGCTAAGGGGGAGGAGTGATAGCAGTGGATTTAGAAACCAATTAAAAACAGGGGTTTCTAATGATATAATTAAGAGTTACATCTTAATCTACCACTAAATCCCAGGAGGACCCTTCTCGAAGTCAAGAATCTGAGTGTTCGGGAATGAGACCGTTAACAGTGCCTTTATGCCTTCCGGTGTAAGATGGTTGCGTAATTTCGACTTGAATACCAGTAACTTAGGCGATAATCTAATTTCAGGCGAAAGATTATTCCAAAGGAAGGCGTATTTGGAAGCAAAGAAGAGGGAGCGCTTAGATGTAGTACAAAGAGGCGGCGGAATCACCATGCAGGAGTTGCGCGTGGCATAAGACCGATCTCTCGGAGTGAGAGTGTCAATGTGCGGAAGACTGGAGCTAGAGTTGATGCGAAAAAGGAAGCAAAGGCCAGCCTCGAGTCTTCTAGCCCACAAAAACTTAATGTTCGCCAGCTGACATCTCTGAGTATAAGAAATACTGGACGAAGCTTGAGAGAACAGTTTCCGGGTGAAAACCCTCTGAACATTTTCGATTTTATTACGGTCGCAGGCGTTCATTAAACCGAAGAAAGGACAGCAATATTCGAGGACTGGAAGAACAAACATTGGATTAAGTCTTACCTTCATTTCCGGAAGGAAAAAATTATGCGATATGAATCCACATATCTGCGCGGCTTTGGCAGAGATTCTATCTGCATGAGGTGATAAAGCAAGTTTATTTGTATAACTTGGACCTAGGTCCTTTATGGTGAGGCATTCTGAGAGTGGGTTATTCTGAAAAAGTATGGGACCAGGAAGTTTGGTAGGACCAAAAGACATGAAACTACACTTGGATGATGAAAACTCCATCTGCCATGTCGAACCCCATCTGCTTAAGCGTAGTAAATCGGCATTAATTTTTTCAACACAAACATTTGCGGTGTCCTTAGAGTATGAGTAAACACACTTGAGGTCATCGGCATAAGTAAAAGTTTGCGAAT